GACCAAACAAAATGCCATGCAATCTTAGAATTCTTACGAAGAGAAACATGGTTTCAATAAATCTCATCAGATAACATTGTTGGCGAGACTTTTAGTTCGTATGGAAGTGCATGAAGAAGTGATTCAAAGGGCAACCTAACCAGAAGAGTACGGCTGATTCTCGTTGAACTGCCTCCGTTGACGCAGTCCGCGAGACGTCCGCTCTCGCTTCGGTTTAAAACGGGTTGAGCTTTCGTCCATCAAATGATCGACATCGTCGGAGCTGGAACTCATTCTTGTCAAAGTCTTACGTTAACACTAGGTCGAGAAGCACACACACACACACACTCGAACAAAAGTAGCAGGACGAGTATGAAAGATAATTAGCCAAACCATTCTATATCCATCGACCTTACTATCTATTCTTCATGCACTTAAGACGAAATGAAAGTCGCCTCAACAATTAGTCTTCATATTCACGACCATCAATTCGAGTCTAAATATTGTTACTTTTATCTCAAGCTGGTTGCTACATGACCTCTTGTCGCCTAGGCCATCTTGCACAGAGGACAAGAAATTTGAAGCATAGCACGCAGATTTACGGATTCCTACTAACGAAAGGAAAAAAATATTTCGGCAATAAAAAGACTTATTTTTCGCATTTAAATATTGTGTCGAGACTACCAGTAGATCAGTAGTATGAGATGTATTCACCCAATTTCGTTTAAGCTGTGGAAGGACTGGTGGAAGAATGTTCCCACAATGATATGACTAGAGCTGACGTTTCCGTTGAATTTCAGATAGCTTTGCTTTCTCAAAAGTTGTTCTCATCCAGATGGGATTGTCGATGAAGCAAACTTCTTTTTGCTATAAAAATCGACTACGTTATATTATTTTTCGCATTTAAGTAGTGTTTCGAGACTACCAGTAAATCAGTAGTACGAAATGTATTTATCTAATTTCGTTTAAGGTGATGAAGGACTGGTAGTAGAATGTTCCCACAATGATATGAGTAGAGCTATAGCTTCCATTCAATTTCACATTGCCTTGCTTTCTCAAAAGTTGTTCTAATCCAGGCACCAGTTGACTAAAGTTTCAACTTCGCCTCGGTCTTATCAACACCCCAGCGGGAGTCGAACCGTGGCAGTGAAGAACGGGAACTCATGTCACTGTGGGAACATTCTACTACCAGACCTTCATCACCTTAAACTAAATTTGATGAATACATTTCATACTACTGATTTACTGGTAGTCTCGAAACGCTACTTAAATGCGAAAAATAATATAACGTAGTCGATTTTTATAGCAAAAATACGTTTGCTTCTTTGACAATCCCACCTGAATGAAAAGAACTTTTGGAAAAGCAAGGCTATGTGAAATTCAATGGAAATGTCGGCTCAACTCATATCATTGTGGGAAAAATTCTTCTATCAGTCCTTCATCACCTTAAACGAAATTGGGTGAATACATCTCATAAAAAGACTTATTTTTATCGAGGATATGAAGACCAAGATGGTGTAACCTCCGATATGGGCACAGTCTCCTTTCGCTTTATAGAAGTGGGTTGACCTCGTTGTCGCAACTTGGTCCTGTTGTTAGGGCGACTTGGTAGAACGCACCTAGTCCGAAGTCGTCTGTCATCGTAGTAGTCATGATTCCCAGCACCAGACATTTGACTTGGTACATTCTCAACGTTTCGCCGGTATCGTAATCGGCGATTTGTTTACTCGTCATTCGTCAAAATGTGTGCCCTTTTGTGAAAAAACTAGTGTGGCCTCATAGCATCTGCTATTCACCCTGGTCCCCAGTCGAAACGAAATTTCTGGCCCCAAATGAATAGATGTCTGATCACAAATAGAGTCCTTTACACTTAAAACTCCACATTTAACACTTAAACAGCATAAAAAGCAGATCTTTCTGACCTTTAGTTATTCGTGGTTGGCTATGCTGCATATGTTTGTAGGTGGTCCAGGATGTTTATAATAAGCAGATGCTCCAAACTGGATACACTTTCAGAAGCAAATTTCTCTTTCTTCTGGGCTTGCGAGTGTGAGGGATCAAAGGATAAATGCAAACCACTTCTTCTTGCCCTCAGGCTTTAGTTTGAGTATAACCTTCATCACGATGTTCCTCTCGGTCGTCGACAACTTTGAGAAGTATCGCGACTTGGTTCTCGCATTCGCCAACTCGGGCGTCGGTGTTGGCAACTTCGTTGCGCCCTACATCCTCAACAGCCTCGTGGAGCACTCAAACTGGCGGTTTATCCCACTGACGTGGGCCTGCCTATACGCACAAATGATCCCACTCAGCCTTCTCTGTCGGAGCCGCAATGAGGCTGTTGGCAGCGGAGAGGCCAGCGAGGAGAAGGGCGATGGCCGAAATGTCATCTCGGACTCAGATGGGATGGGGAAGACGGCAATCGAATGTTCCACTTGCGGCACGGAGGCCAACCGTTCGCGGTGGAAGCAAACAAGTCGATGTTGTCTATCCACATCCACATTTAGGTTGGTAAAGGATTCTTTTCTTTTTTTCTCTCATAAGTAAGGTTCCGAGGCTATCAGTAAATCAGTAGTATGAAATGTATTCATGCTATTTGCTTTAAGGTGATGAACGACTGATAGTTGCATTTTCCCACAATTACATGAGTCAAGCTGACGCTTCCATTCAAGTTCACACATCCCTGCTTTCCCAAAACGATGGTATCCTCCAAACCGGGGTGGACTGCAGCTTCAACCTCGTCTGAACGGGTCTCATCAACACGCTGGGCGGGACTCGAAGCAAGAAAGTGCAGCGGACAATCACCTCACGTTACCCACTCAGCCGCATTGCCACGAGTGGTCTCGCCTCAGAGGACAGATGTGAATTTCAAGCAATGCCATATCATATTCTTTGGTGGGATTGTCAATGAATCAAAATTATATTTGCTATGACAATAGACGACATTACTTATTTTGGGTTCATAAATAGGGTTTTGAGACAACTCGTAAATCATGTATGTGAAATTTTCTCCGGTTAGCACCAAGCGACTCAAGGGGTTGTTTGCCAAATGGTCTTCAAACTAAAGGATATGACAAAAGTTTAAGCAAGGAAAAGGTATAATCACTACTTATAATTCGTTTGTAAGTAGACTTTCGAGACTCCCACTAAATCTGATATATAAATTGTGCTCACTCTATTTTGTTTAAGGTGATGAAAGAGGGCCTGTTGAATTTTTCCAAAATCACGTTTTCATTGAACTTCACGTAGGCTTGCTTTCCCAATAGGTACACTCATTTAGGGTGGACTACGGTTTCAGCCTCGCCTAGGCATCTTCACAGACGCGTGCGGGACTCGAACCATGACTGCGCGACGTACAATTTTGATGCACTGACCACAGTCGGACTATTCATACGATTGCGAGAAAGGTCAACTGCCAGTCCCTCTATCACCTTAAACGAAATGGGGTGAACCCACCACATATATCACCACAATTCGTCTGTACGGACGGTCTCAGTGAGCCTCAACACAGTTGATAATTCATTAAAATCCTCTCATAAGACAAGACAAAAGTGCTTCTAAAGGAAGCTGAGTCCCAAGGTCAGAAGTGGCCGAACACGGTAGAAACTGGACGTGAAATAGA